CAACCGGCTTGATGGTCCATCTCTTAACCGTGCCTCTGATGTAGAGGCGAAGGTAAGCAGATGATGTCTGTACTTCTGGTTCCGGTGGTGACTTCTTCCACGGTCGTAGCTCACTACGTATGCCCTTCACCAGGATGACGTCCTTGAGTAGGTCCTTCACAACTCCCAACAGGACTTGATCAGTCAGCCAGTGTTTGTAGTTGATGCCTCGCTGAACCGCTTCACTGAAAAATCCCAGAGCTAGCTGCACGATCTCCATAAGTGCCTTCTTCATGTAGTGGCTGTTCTCCACGTTGAGATTGAGATTGGCCTCGTCGATGATTTCGACGGAGTCCAGGACTTTCTTGCTGGTCCTGGTTTTCCAGTTCTTGACGGGGTCGCCGAGTGGACTCGCTCTCGGGTTCGTGCCTGGCGCCCAGCGCCCGTGACGACATTGTCCTGGCACCATTGAGTGCTCGATGCCTGGGGGAGTCTGTCGCCCCAGAGTGCAGCGAACACAGTCGTAGTAGTGCTCGGTCACGAACCAACTCATTGTCCTCGGCCATGGTCGAAGGAACAGAAGATTCCGTCGCTGAAGGAAGCCTTGGATGTCCTTCACCATGTTGTGACACATCCTTTTGGGATACACTGCACTCATGGCCGTCCGGGAGAAACCTTGATAGTTGCCTTGCAGCTGTCCATGTGGTCTCCCTTTATGACCTGAGCATCTCTTCGCAGTGTACCGGAATCGGATGTTGGAGCCGAATCCTGTGGCCTTCTGCACCGGGTTGCCTTTCTCGTCCTCTGCACCGTGCATGCACTGATCTACCCGCTGCCGGTTCTTGGCTTCAGGCAGTCCATCTATCTCCAGAGGGCTGCTCTGCCACATAGCTGATCCGAGTGGTTGCTCCAAGCAGTAGCCTCGTCCAGCAGCTGCTTGTTCACTGAACATCTGCTTGAGGAACGTAAGTGATGGACGTTCAGCATGTCTTTCCTGCATGCGCTGATCATAATCCTTGGCATTTCCGGACACGGACCATGGTGCACAATCCGGTGATGCTTGCAGCGTGCCTGGCTGGAACTCCTCAAATGCGCTCCAGAGCATTTGTTGGTGGCTCTTGTTGCCGATATCCCAGCCGTACCGGAAATCCACTGGGAAACCCACAATGAGCCCTGCCATGACGCAGAACCAACTGAAGCGTCCGGAGCCACTGCATAGCTCCCAGGCATGCCAGCGTAGGTTCCGACCTTTTGCCGCTTGGAACCATGATCCAAAGTTCTTGGGCGTGACTGGCCGGAAGCCTGTCTTGGTATAGTACTCTTCCGGCACGCACTTGTACCGCTTCTTGAGCTTGCTGTGTATCTTCTCATCCAGATACTCGGGCATGTCGTCCTCTCTATAGTGAGGAAACTCCTCATCTTGCACAGCAGGATCCGGCATTTCCTTCTGCTTCTTGTAGAAGATGGTTTTACCCGTCCATAGGTAGCTCATGTCGCGGTTCCCTACGCTCGTATTCCTGTACTCATCCTTGAGCATCATCTTGTCGTGGTTCTGGTTCACTGGCTTGATCTCTGTCATGCGTTGGTCGTCCAGAAGGCTGCTGTCCAGCGGGCAGTCCGTGGTCAATCCTGGGGTGAACATCATCCTCCGAGGTGCTCGATGAATACGAATGAGCTGTTCCTCGGTTTCTATCCACTCATCTTGTTCGCGTCCTTGAATCTCCTGTGTCAGGAAGGACTCTTCCTTATGTGCTGGTTGTGACTTCTGAGGCTTGTCCTTCTTCTCTTCAGGTTGTTCTTCTGGTGATGCTGTTTGGACTTCACACCGGTTACCTTCCTTCGTCGTCGGTTCCTTCTTCAGGATGCTTTTCGGTTGCTTGGCGACGAGGTAGCACTTCTTGACGTCAGGCCATGTCTTCTGACTCTCGTCTACGACCTGATTCATGTACTGCTCCACCTGTTCCTTGGTGTGCTGGGAGACCTTGCTGCTGTGATCGGTCGGCAGGATATAGTGACCGCTGTCGGTAAGCAAGATCCTCAACAGCTGTCTCTTAGACTCTGGAGTTGCTTGCACCACCAGCAGACCATCTCCATTCTCGAACCAGTTGGTGAGTATGCTGGCGTGCAGTTCGCGAAGCGATGGGTTTCCGATCAACGCGGGACACGTTGAGCCTTCTCCTCCTAGGACGTCACCGGTGTAGACGATGTCATGTCCTGAGGACTTCAAAGGAATTCTCACTTCTCCGAGAGTCTTGTCGCTGCCACCGGAGATGCCGCTCACCGAGTTGATCTTCTCCATCTTCCACTGAACTTCATGGCTTCGGTTGAGCGGGTCCACGCAGTTCTCCAGTAGGTCTCGCAGCGTGTCCGAGCCGATCAATCCACTGGCTGCTCCTGGATCCACCAGCAGTCCTCGTCGCTTCTCATTCCTGATCATGTGGTATATTCCATGCCAATTGGAGAATCTTCCGGATGCAATGAAAGTCGGGAAAAACAACTTCTTGTCACCTGCACTGGCCTCCGAAGTGGAGGCAGATGACCTCTTCACACTGAGCAGCTCGTCATCTGAAACGGAATTCATGGCAAAGGTGGTGACCTTCTTCGTTGGCTGATCCTTGGCGGTCTGGATGACCTCACTGATGTCCAGACCTTGTGTCCGTGCGTAGTACCAGCCTCTGTCACCGTCCTTGCTCTTACCATAGCCTTTCCCTTTGCCCTTACTCTTTCCGCTCCATGGACGGAATCCTCCTTTCCTGAATTTGCCCTTGCCCTTGCGGTAGCCTTTGCTCTTGCCGAAACCTTTCGGCCTGTAGCCTTTTCCTCCGGACTTTCCATCCTTGCCCTTTCCTTGGTTCACCGGGCAAGACGCGGCAAGATGCCATTTGCTTCCGCAGATAAAACAGCTCGGGCTTCCTCGACCTTTTCCTTTCTGGTAGAACTCGTCCTTCTGCTCAGTGACTGTTTCCTCGGCTTCGTCAACTGGATCTCCTTCGGCACCTTCTTCGGTGCCCCACATCCAATCCTCTTCCGGGTAGAAGTCATAGTCCTCCTCGTCGTAGGCATAGTAATCCGAGTCGTAGTACTCATACTCGTTCCACGGTTCCTCATAGTAGGACATCCAATCCTCATGTTCTTCTGCGTCCCACTGCTCACCAACGTAATCATGATCATCGTCTCTATTGTTCTGCTTGTTGCCGTAGAAGATGTCGCCGTCTGATTCGGCGGTCTTGCTGTTGAGCCTCAAGGCCAGAGACTTGGCGTCCGCGAATCTCGCCAGGTCTCCTCCAATCTGTAGCTTGATATCCTCGATGAACTTCTGGCTGAGGCCGCTGTTCTTGAAGTAGAGGTAGAACTTGGCCACCTCGTTGATGAGCAAACCGGCTCTCTCTGTGGCTTCTTCCAGTCTCATATCGAACTCCACCGAGTACTCCCTCAGCGTCATCTTTCCGCGCCTGAGCTCAAAGAAACGCTCAAGGGAGACGCTCACCAGGTCCTGATCACTCTGGCCGAAAGCGTCCCTGAGCGCGTTGCACAGGCTCTGTACCCCCGAGGGAATGTGCTGTTGAAGCACAATCTGTGGGTTCACCGGATCCCGAACCTCATCCACACTGAGCCTGACCAGTGCCGCGTCGCCCGTGTCGATTCCTCCGTCTGGTCTGGGAACTCTCAACTGGATGGCGATTCGTTGTGCTCGTCCTTGTAGTCTGCCTGCGACCAGGGGTCCCACCGACTCGTCGTCCCCGTTGTAGATGCGATACCAGAGTCGCAACTTCTCGAAGTAGTGTCGCAAGGGGTAGTCGGCGAGTCCTGGTGCCCAGCCTGGCGGCACATCACGTCGGTACTCATTCAGTGGGATTCCTGCGTACCCAGCCGTAGTGGCAGCCATCAGGATGATGACCGTCCAAAGGCGCGCAGCAGTGACCAGATGTCCAAAGTGGCTCCTGGCCTGTTGGCTCCACTGTCTTGCCGACTGGTTATATGTATTGGTTCGTCTTCCCGATGCTCTTCGTCCGGCAGCGCTCTCCGGGATGGTGATCGAGCCGTAGGTGATCTCCTGGGAATAGGTGATGCCTGTGTAGAGCTCCTGTGGCTTGTCCGAGATCTCGATCGCGATCCTCTTGGTGGGGTCCTCGGTGCTAGCTGTGGTGCTTCCTCCGGCAATTCGTCCAAAAGCTCGAGGTCCAAAGGGCTGGCGACCTGATCCGATGGAAGTATGATCAGGTCCTCGGAGATGTCCTCCAATGACTGTTCTTGTGTTGGCCTCCGAACTGCAGACCTCCGTGTTCTTCTCTGTCTCCTGGATGGGGATCCGCTGACCGTGCTTCTCCGCCTGGTTCTCCAAGGCCGTGTAGGTCTCCGTGACCTTCTTCGCGAGCGTGTTGCCCTTCGTGAGCGTGATCTCCTCCAGGGTGGTGTTCTGCGGCCGCTCGAGCTTCTTCGCCTCCGTGAGCGCGAGCGAGTAGTTCTCTCCCTGGATCTTGTCCTCCGCCTGGCCACCCGGATCTGTCTGACCGTAGTCTGGCCCACACGCCAGTAGGTCACCTCCGGGAGTGTCTCCTCCGCCGTGGCTGTCACCCGACTTACTGTCCTGCGGGCCCCAGCCAACCCGGGCAGCCACCCAGCTGCCGATGCTGATCGTGAAGATCAGGTCCGCGATGATGACCACCGCGCAAGCCGGCCTCAACGGGGCCAGCGTCCCTATGCGGGACCGGCAGCCGTGAGCGCGCGGCTCTATGGCGAGCGCGCGAGGGCAGGGAACCCCGAAGGGCTCCGCTACCAAACTCAGAACTAACTTTTGACCCAAGGCCTAGCGGGATGCGCAGTGCAAATGACTTCACTCCTCCAAACAAAACAAGCGGGCTCTTTACAATTGCCCTTCAAGCATCAGATTTGGACACTTACGTGCACCAAGTTGGCCCCCGAGAATCTCAGAAGGGGAAGGGCAACAGAGGCAACATGCTCCCGAGATGCCGCTCCCAGGCCAAGTGGCATGGGCCCCACGCCCCCTCTCCGGAAGTCGCCTCTGCAGGATTGAAGACCGAGATGGCCAGGGCCCCCGCCGTGCCGCCCGCCGCCAGCCGCTGCAGGAAGTTCGGCCCTCGCTTTTTCAACCATTCCTGCATCCTAGGACCAAGAACCCCGAACCTGGAAAAGAGGAAACATAGTCCGAAGCAGTTGTAACTGGAAGCCATGAGAATGCTGATAGATCTACACATTTCCTGGAGGTGGCTTTGGAGACCCTCGCCCCGCCACCCTCAAGGCGCCACGTGTTCAGCATCTTCCGCAGAGCTAAGTGTTTGCAGCCGATCAATACGTGTTTGCAAAAGGAGCTCACTGGGGGTTCGGCTAGCTCATCAAGGGCCATTTCCTGGGGGTTCCTTATCAGTGATCTCTTTGAGTGATTTAACTAAGGGGGTTCCTTAAAAGCGATCTCTTTGTAAAGTTATGCAGCATCTAAGAGCCAATGTTAGAGGTCTGAACAGTTTCCCGGTGCCCCTCTCAGATTTAGCTGGACATGTTGACCGAACTTGGGTCCGCTTTGAAGGACCAGTGGCAGACTTGGCCGGCAAGCATATTGGACATGCGAAAAAGTTAATAGGGACCCCGAAAACATTCATGTCGAGGTCTCCTTTTGAGGGGCCCCAAGACGTAGGCTCCGCGTTACGGCGGATGCGCCTTGGTCATTCTTTAGCATCTGGCCATAGAACCCGCGAATGGGCTCGTAAATGACCAGCGACCTGGCGAATGTTGCTATGGTCGGCCTTCTCTTCGAATGCTGAAAAAAAGGTACCTCACTTAGACCGCCCGCATGGCCAGATCTGAGATGTCACCTACCGTTCGCAGGGCTGAACTGCAGCCAGGTGACATGGATGTGTAACATACCTGCGCGCGCGGGGTCGAACCCGCAACCATTATCGACTTGCGAAAATAGCCTGGAAACTAAGAGTCCACCCTGCTTCGGCTTGTCCAGCATTCTAAGATAGGACTGGCACAAATAATTGCCAAGGCTCGGAGAGCGGCCATCCAAGCAACATGCAACACCGATCTGCAATGTGTTCGAGGTGTTCTTCGCGGGTAATTGTTTCCAAATTGCCCAAATCACCATTGGATTGAGGCGGACGTACCTCGAAACATATGGGTGTGTCTTTTTTAAGGGCACCTCCAAAACGGTGGTTGTCCTTTTGGTTTCCCTTTAAATCCACAAAAAGGGATACCCTCAAAAAGACGCACCAATACACGAATCTGAGCTGTCGAACCTCCCTCCCCCCCCCGGCACTCATCCAGCATCAAGGTTTGGGCTGTCATCGAATAGTCCAGGGACTCCGTAGTGCAGCCGAATCGTCGAATCCGCGGAAAGAAAACCAGTGACAAAAAACGGGTCCCAATCAACTCCAGGCCTGATGGCAATCTCCAAGGGCCAAACAATTGCCAAGATCACTGAACAAACTTCCTTGTTGTTCTTTGGGTCTTAGGCTCATGAAACTTTGTTTTTTTGCCGCAGAAGGTTGCTGCCTGATCCTTCCTTTCCGTTTTCCCAACAAATGCCCTGCCCTCGGGTGCCTGGCGGACCAGCGCCGGGCAGAGACCTTTCCAAAGCGCAGGCAGGCCCTCCTCGCGGGCCGTCCTCAGCAGGCAGTCGGCAACGCCTCCGTAGTTAGCAGACACCTGGGGCCAAACGTGGCACCGGAATCCGAGAGTTGGGGGGTGGCGGGGGGGCGCTTGGGGGTTGGGGGGGGGGGGGTTGGGGGGGTTGGGGGGCGGGTTGGGGGTTGGGTGGGGGGTTGGGGAGGTTGGGGGGGGGGGGGGGGGGTTTGGGGGGTTGTTGGAGGGGGGGGGGGGGGGGGGGGGAGCAAGCAATTTCATTGAAATGTGATACCAACTCTGCAGTGATTCACATCCCTCTGACATTGTCCCTCCATTAAAATGAGTGGATATTTTCTTGGGTGTGGGGGGACACTGGAGGTCCTGCCTATGCGATGCCTCCGCGCGTGCGTAAACTCATGGAAGGGTGGCTACGCAAGCCTACACCGCAGCAGGTGCCTACGTGGAGTATCCACGCGAACTTTTATCCGGTACTTCTCTTGAGACTCGTCAGACGAGAGTGAACTGGTGGAAAATGAAGATGAAGCGGCGCATATAGGGCGAAAACCTCCAGGAAGTTTGGTGTTGACGGCCTTTCTTGGGAGCAGCTACTTAGCCATTCTTCTGCTTGGCAGGTGCTTCGGGTTCCATTCTCGCCACAAGCTGCGAAAGGTCTCCAGCTACCAAATTGCCCTGCGAGCCAACACGGATGCCTATATGCAAACCCTGCGGGGAGCCTACGAGAGCAGAGACGGGTTCTCTGGAAAAATCGGGGTGACGTGAACCTCGCAGGATTTTCTTGAACAGCCCGGACTGCCTACGCAAGCCTTCTCCGGGGCGTCCGAGGCACCAGACCAAGAAGCATCTTCTCAAATGTGGAAAAAGGGAAACGGGGGTCCCATGATCATAGGAAACATCATATAGGGTTGGTTGATCTCCTTACAGAAATACTGGGTCCACATCAAAACGTGCACTTCTGAAGGATCCCTTTGCCCCAAAACGGGCGGGGCAGCCAAAGGTATAAACCACTACTTTGAGCCGCTTCTTGGAGGCTCTCCGAATCCGCGTGTTCCTGTCAGAGCAAAATATGGAAATTGAAAGGGGTTCTGGGGGTCGCAGTTATTTGGTTTGTTTATTGGGAACTTGTCTCGCGAGGCGTGGATGCCGATATCTGTGCTTCAATCAACCACAAACTGTGCGTGGTGGGGAGGAACCCGAAGTAAACCTGCAAAACAAAAACAGAAAGAATCCTTGTTCTGCAAACGCAACACGGTGGAGTCAAACGAAACTCGGCGCATGACTGGCACAAAACTGGCACCAGGCCAAGGCAAACGCCGGATTCATCCTCAATCAAAGACATCAGGACTTTGCACAACTCGCATCTTCAAGATAAACGCCTTTCTGAACATCCAAAGAAATGTCTTGGGAGACCTGTTGCCTTTTACAGGGACCTTGTCGGGGTTCGTTGGGCATACACCCATAAGCAATTCAGGGAATCGCATCACAGGTGTTTGGTTTCTGGTGGGTCCTGCGGACAGATTTGTGCAGACCTGCCAGCTCATAACCTGTGCACACAAAGCGCTTTGATCGTCTTGCTTGTTCTCAGTAGGCAACCCAGAGGGGCTTTGAACATGGACTGCAAGGGACGGCTTATAGTTTACAAGACAGTTACTTCCTGAGTGGATTGGCTAGAAAAGTCTAAGTGCCTTGCTTGCCACTACGGCCTTCCCAAAATGTCTCTCAAGTCCGGGAACGGAAGCGTGTAAGGGCCATGCCCTGCTGAGAAGACGCACGCTTCATTGATCGTGTTTTCAACAGACGGATGCCAAGCTGCTCGCTTCTTGTTTCACGTCCTTTGAATTGCCTATGCACTACAGAATCACATGTGATAGTTGCCAGTCATCACTTGTTTCCTTTAATGTTAGACCTCCTTTATTAATAGTCCCCTCTATTGTAGAAAGTGTTTTCTAATTCAGCATCCTGTGACTGTTTTAGGGGTCCTCTATTGTGGAAAGTTTTTCGGCCGGAACATGCCGGAAACAACGCTGGAAACATATGGGCCAAAAACTTGGCAAACAAGTCGGGCAAAAAAGAAGGCAACCAAATCCTGGCAAACATTCGGAAATCCTTTTCTTGAAGTGCTCCCCAAACCATCAAATTTAAGATAACTTCTTTACACAAAAGTGTGCGCAATCAGTCACGCAAAGGGGGGGGTGCCCACAAGAGCCCTTGATCCTCTTTAGTCTGACTGTTTTGGGGTCCTCTTTAGTGTCCAACTGGTTTTGGGGGTTGCTGAAAAAACCTTCCTTGGCAATACTAAAGTAGAATTGGCAATGCTAAAGTAAGTACTGGGAATCTGAGAGGCAGCCTTGCAATATTAAAGTAAAATTGGCAATATTAAAGTAAGTACTGGGAAGCTGAGAGCCAGTCTTGGCAATACTAAAGTAGCATTGGCAATACTAAAGTAAGTACTGGGAAGCTGAGAGCAAGCATTGGCAATACTGAAGTAGAATTGGCAATACTAAAGTAAGTACTGGGAATCTGAGAGGGGACCTTTGCAAAGTAGAATTGGCAATACTGAAGTAAGTACTGGGAATCTGAGAGGGGACCTTGGCAATACTAAAGTAGAATTGGCAATACTAAAGTATGTACTGTCCCTCCCAGACCCCCAGCATTTCCACAAAAGAGGGTGCAGCTGACTTGTTCCACTGTTCAGGGGACGGGGGCCGTGTAAAGAGGGTCCAACATTAACAACGGTTAACCTCCATTGGCCCGTGCCTGCAGGCGCACCTTGATCACATCCGTCGGCAGAGTTACCTTGGGTTCGCACCACCGGGGGTTCCAACCAAAAAATCAGACACCCGCAATGAACGCGAAATCCTGATCGTGTTTGTCTTGCTCTCAATCCGCAGTTGAGGGGCCACGAGCTTCGCTTCACGCCGTCAAGTGGTGACGGAAGTCTTGCAAATGGCCAAGCTCTGTGCTGTGTATTTTCACAGACCTCCACACCAACCCTTCGAAGATCCCACAAATATCAAACATATGGTGTCCTAAAAAGGAAACTTCCACAATAGTTGTCCGTTGCGCCATCCAAAACGCGGGTCCAGTTTTGGACCAGATTTGTCCTGAATCTTGCAAGAGGTGGTTGGCTTACTTGCATTCTTACGCACTCGGCATGGGCAACCTCTCCAGCCATTGGCGCCCGAAGCCCCCCCCAGTGGCTTGAAGCAAGAACTGGAGCTGAGACAATTCATTCCGATTCCTTGAGCCACGAAACTTCGAATCGTGCCCCATAAGATATGCAGAAAATGGAGTGGCACTCTTTGAGTGGGAAAATTGGGTGGGCCCCATGTGGTCACAAACCAACAGTAGACCGACTATCAAGCACCTGGTTTAAAGCTGTACCATGTACATGCGCTTGCAATCTTCAGCAATCAGCCTCCAGATTTATTCAAAGTTAGTACGTCGAATTGGCTGGCCACCAAATGCAGCCTTCCGACTACGAATTGATGGATTGCACACATGTTTGGGATTCCCAAAATGAGGCACACCGTGACACACTTCTGCCTTTCTTGCGGAGGCTAGGTTGCTTGCCTATGAGGCCCTCTGAAAAAGCATGAACGGGGTTGTGGGGTACTCAAAGGACAAACATTTAGTGATTGGAAAAAAAGAAGAACTAAGAAGAAAAACCTTCTAACTCTTTTGCCCCGATTCGGTCTTCTGCTTTTGGGCTGGTTCTTTCCAGGGCGCCGTCTCAGCGAAGGCCGCGCCCAGCGCGGAGCCCACGAAGCGTGCAAAGGCGTCCGACATCGCGGGCAACGGAGCCGCAGAGCAGATGCGGGGCGTGGGTCTTGGAAAACCAAGCTTCGGCTTTGTCGGGAAACCCCAGGGAAAACCATAGGCTCGGATTTGGCAAAGGACGAGAAGCTCAATTTTGTGATTGCTGGCTTTCTGAGAATGTCCTAGATGAGCTGCTGGTGTAATTCTGGTCGCTCAATATGCATTGTGACGCGCCCCACCGGCCAAATTGTCCATTCACATTCCAACTGGGGGTAAAGACAAGGTTTTGGAAGGACTCACTGAATTCCAGAAAACACGTCATCGCATGATGACAGGTCTGTGCTGAGGTTGAGGGCAGTTGCTTTCTTGTGGAACCTTGCTTTCAAACAGCTGGACACAAACAAGTGAGCTGTGGTTCTTGCGCCCATAGAGCAAAGCCACATATATTCGAACAGCCACAAACCATTCCCTGAGCCTAAAGGCAATGATCCTCCTGGCTTTTGCTAACACTTGTGTTGTCAGGTGTGCAATCTTAGCTTGAGGTCCACGGGGATATCCACATGTGGCCATCACCTCAGCTGCAGCTTTTGCGGAATCTCGAAATCGGACTTCCTTTTGAATACGAACCTTCCCCTCCCATGGGCCAAAGCGAGCAACCTTTTTTCGACTGCTTGGTCTGGGTGCATTATGTGCATTCTCGAAACATGCTCTATGGCAGGGCAAAAAAAAAGCCAAGGGCCATGCCGCCGCGGCTCTGCTGTTGAGACCTACGAGTTCTTTTTTTTTGGGGGGGGGCGGGCTCCACGCAGAAACGGTTTCTGGTTGCAAGCCGGCATGCTTGCCTTCAGTTCACCGCCTTCTCCCTTCTGGTTGCCAAGCACAGTTGTAGTGGCAAAGGTTCGGTTAACTTCTCAACAGCACTGAGCAAGACCTGCGAATTCCTCTTTCTCACCCCGACGTCAGTTGTCATCAGACCGACCTCTCACAAGCTGATCTCATGCTATGAGAATCCTTGCGATGTCACACATCGCACCTGAGCAATGCAGCCATGCTTTGGCTGGCTCATGATTCAACAAGCGTGCACCGTGGCTTCCGAATGCAGGCTGCCACGAGAGCAATTGCATAGCTGCTCTTCTGCGAGGTTCGATCGCCCTGGGATGCTTCAGCCAGCACAGAAATGGCTCAACGGCTCTCAGGAGAGATTCAGAGAGCCTCAATATCATCACTCAATCAAAGTAAAAGGAAATCCTTGCCATGGAAAACAGAGCCCTGACCACCGGACAAATCGCATCCGCAAAAGAAACAGGGAAGGTTCTGCCACAGGGAACAATGCACTCTGCTGCCTTGTTTATTGTCCCTCAGGACACGACCCACCAGTACAACTCCCAGTGCGAATGGTGTTTGTGATTGTTGAATATTGTTTGCGCCCCTGAATAAACAGGAACATGTGCTTCACTTCGTGCAGTGTACGCCCAAATTGGTTTGTCTCAAAATAGGGGAAGCCACAAAATGAGTTTCCCTTCAAAGCCAACCAACCGAATTCCAAAGGCGTTCTCTCCAAAGACGGCACGCGTCCCAGCATCCTACTTGTTCAATGTCCTTGGGATTGGCATCCAGAGGCTCTCGGGGTATTCTCTGCAGCCCCTCTGCGACTGAATTGGAGACGGAGACGCAGTCAAAAGCATGCAAATCGGCACAGAAGCATGCTAAATAGCAGGCACACACTTCGTGCAAGAGCCTCACATGTCCACCTTTGACGACAAACGTGTTGAAAACGGAAAGCAATCGATTCAATGGCTGGCCTTGGGCATGCGAGCACAGACACACCTATCACTTTCGAGCAGAGCCTCGGCTCCAGGCAAAGTTCAGCTTGGCACCTGTCATCCTTTGTGCTCAAGCTGATCCGGTGGTATGTATTATCTTCCGCACAGTACTGAGCAAGACCGAATCCGGTCGCTTGGGTCCACAAGTCACCCTGCCGACTTCTGGCCGCCAAGCGACAATCGCGGACAGGCAAAGGCTTTGGAATCGCACACTGTGCCCTAAAGACTCTTTACGTGCGAGGCACATATTTGATTGGGACTTACCCGGGCGGCCCATCTGACCGGCCAGTCAACAACAGTTTGTCCACTGCTCAGCTTGACCACCAGGCCAACCTCATTGCTAGTTCCTTCCCATCGTCCCATATGATACTTTTGCCGTCGCACGTCGCACCTGCAAACGTGGCTTCCAAATGAGGCTGCCACTGCGAGGCGAAGCGATCGACTCCAAACATTTTCGCCGTGGCTTTTGTGGAGTGACTGGGCATCTGTCAGTGGCTTTTGTCTGCCTCCCTGAAGTCCAAGCGGGGGACTTTCTGCGGAAGGTGCGATTGGTCTGAGTTCTCGGCTTGGGTCTCGGCTTAAAATGAGCAGCGTCAACCCGAAGTGCCACACAGCCTCATTACAATCTCGACTAAACAAGTCGGAACTAGGAGGGAGTGGAACCTACTGCTAAAAAAGCGAAAATTGGTTGTGCGCACTGCTCGGGCACTGCTCGATTGGCCTTCACACCAAAGGAACAATACCAAGGATATGTTTTCCTGAGTCTCCGATCGCGAGGGAAGACAACGCCGAGACCCGACACCCGCACCCTTTAGCCCTACGCTTCCTCGACTATTCTCAAAATAGGGGTTGTTCAACCCCTATTTTGGCATTGACAACCCGTATTTTTGACATTCGCCTTTGGGGTCCATTTTGGGTTGTTGCTTCGTTTCTTCGAAACTTATGCTTGCTATTGCAACCTCTGAAGTAGCCTTGGGAGCCACATACTTCTCTGCTAGCTAAGTAAATTACTATTTCTTGATAAGGTCCTCGGGTCCTTTTTGCGTCTGCGCAATGCACCTGCTGAAAGTCTTGCGTAAACAGAACCTTCATTCTAGCAAATTACAGAAATTGTCCTGTTCAATGTGCGCAGGTGGCACAAACAACCCGCAATTTTCTGCTTGGTTTTTCCGTTCCAATTTTCGCACAGGCAAAAACGACGTGAGCGTAGACAAACCGTAGACGCACCGTAGAGAAACCGTAGAAACACCATGTTTTGGCGTAGAACCACTATTGTTTGGACCCAGAAGATCAACATCCTCATCCTGGAATGGTTGCTGTGATGGAGATTTTGGCTGTCCCGTTTCTTGGTTTGGCTAAGGGGGTGGGCCAGAAGAAGCCAACATTAGCCTTGCAAATTGTGAAACATATTGCATGTGTATATTCACATTCGGTTTTGGGATCCTATGGAGCGGCCTTAGCGTCAAATACTTCCTTGCTCTTGTTCCAGTCCAAAACGGAGGCTGCCGCTCGTCGTCAAAAAATAGCCTTTGTCCAACAAACAGGGGTTGTCACAACGTCTATTGTTTCAATACGCTTTGGAAGCATTAGGGTGAGTATGTCAGACACGTGCAACTCCGCACAAAAGCATGCTAGTAACGCCAGCACACTCCGTGCAAAGCAAACATAAGACTCCCATGTCCTCCTGTGACGACACACAAACATGTTGACAACAGAAAGCACTAGATTCAAAGGCTGGCCCAGGACACGCGAGCAACGCATGCAACTATTGCTTGACTGTGTTCGCCTGACTTTGGCAGAGCGGATTGTCCCTCCTCCCCAAATCCGCTTGCTCCGCAAGCTTTGATGAAGCAGCACAACCCAGTAAGCTGGGACCCGGCACTACGAATCGGTTGGCTTGGCTCTGAGACTGTGGCTGAAGGATGTCCGTTCTGAACCGAGCGTACGGCCAGTGCCCATTGAGGTTCGACACACACACACACACTCGCACTTGCGCAAGTGCCTCCGCCACTGCAAAAGGTACCTAAGTTTGTGTTTTGTTGCATGCGTGTTGCCTACGCAGGCTCCTTTGAAAGCTGCTTGCATTTTGCTTTCCAACTTGAGTTTTGCATTGCAATTCAAGGGTTGGATCGTGTAGAAGTAAATAATGTGCAAAAGACCGCGCGGCCAAAGTATGACGAAGACCTGTTGATTGCTGGGCTAACGGGCAGGTACACAGCTGCGCCCTCCATAGGTCACTTGTCCGCGCCCTTCATGTCAACAGTCGCGCGCACTCACCTACGCACCTGAGAGTTGCTCACCTGCCCCCTATCGCTCAAAGTGCTGCGCCTGCCACAGAATCCAGCTTTATTGCTCGGGGGCCGGGGGGGGGGGGTGGGTGGGGGAGGATAATAAGCACATTTGCTCAAGCACCCGCTCAGCACTGTGTGACCGGCTCGCTGTCGAGCACCGGCGGGGAGGGTGGTGGGGAGGGGAGGGGGCTGGGGGGTGGGGGGATGATAACGTTCGCTGTTGCGGGCACACTTCAGTACAGCCTTCTCTTGGGGAGGGTGGGCATGATAAGCACACCCGCCCAACTGCTTCAGCCCAGCCTGCTCTTTAACCAGATTGCAAAATATCATGGCTCTAGGGGGAGGGGTGGGGCAGGTAGCACACCCGCCCAACTGCTTCAGCCCAGCCTGCTCTTTAACCGAATTTCAAAAAAACATTGTTCTATTGGAAAGGGGTTGGGGGGGTCATGATAAGCACACCGCCCAACTGCTTCAGCCCATAATAGCATGGTTCTGGGGAGGGTGATTCCCAAAGCGGAAATGCTCAAGCCCAAAGGACGGAGCACCAATTGCGTTTACGGTCTCGATATGGTGCCTGGATCCTGGATATCCCTAGCTTCAGCCCAGCGTGCTCTTTAAAGGATCACAAAGCAAAGCTGCCTGCCACCTGCCCTTTCGCGAAAAAACATCAATACCTTAACAAATATGATGTGCTGCTGTTGCTGCTGTTGCTGCTGTTTCTGCTGTTGCTGCTGTTGCTGCTGTCGCCGTTGCCGTTGCCGTTGCCGTTGCCGTTGCCGTTGCCGTTGCTGCTGTTGCTGTTGCCGCTGTTGCTGCTGTTGCTGCTACTGCTACTGCTGCTGCTGCTGCTGGTGCTGTTTTGCTGCTGCTGCTGTTTTGCTGCTGCTGTGTTGTTGTTGTTGTTGTTGTTGTTGTTGTTGTTGTTGTTGTTGTTGTTGTTGTTGTTGTTGTTGTTGTTGTTG